GAGGTCTTGAAAATCTCCCTACAAGCAAGGGATGGTAAATAGAAATTAATTGGATGGCACTTGTCATTAGGGTTGTAATATGTGTTAAATGTCACTGACATTTTGTGTCTCCTTTTACTCTATTTTGGGGAAAAGTTAAAAATGTATATTCCTAAGACTTTTCATAGGTTTGCTGCTCATGTGGCCCCTTCCTTCTCCCCAGTTCTCTGGAAGGTCTCTATTTCTCCAAACCACAATTCTCCTACTCTGGCAGTTTTCAGCAGCCCGTTCCTTGAGGCCGGGGTGGGGGGCAGTGCTTTATTTATGAACAGCCTGTCTCACAGGAAAGGAAAGGAAGACTCTGAGAGGGCCAGTGATTTTCCGTGGTCCCATTTCCAGTCAGTCGCAGAGCCAGTGTTTTAAGACAAACTCATCAGATCCCAAAGGTTTGTAGGGCCGATTGCCCTCACCCCCGCCCTGAGAAGTGAGTTGGGTAGATTGTAGGACACCAGCTTGCAGAACCATTCATTTGTTTTCAGAAAACTTGAAAAGAATTGCATTAAAAAAAAAGTGAAAAGACTCATCGACAGGAGCAGCACATGCATATACCAAAGGCTTTGAGGATGTAAGCACCACTTTGACCCAGCTGAGTTACTGGTAAAATTGAGAGGTCCCCTTGGGCCATGCCTCCTTTCAGAAATTGGCACTGATGTTCTCCGGTCTCACCCCTCGGTCAGGCAGGCCATCAACACTCACTGAGCACCTTTACAGCGGGCCAGGTGTGCTCAGAGCTGTAGGACACAACAGGAAGCCAAAGAGAGCCCTCCAGAAGCAGTGCTTCGCGTCGTGTGGACTCCTCTGCCCCACGCTGTGCGGCCTCGCGTCGCATTCCCACAGTAGGCACCGGTCATCCTCACCGTAGGTAGAGACCAAGGCACAGAAAGGCTGAAAACCTGTCGAAGCTTTCGAAGCAAATAAGAAAAGGACCTGGCACTCACACCGGGCTCCGTTTGACCCTAGAGCCCATACCGGGAGCTAAATCTCTTCCGTTAGGACACATTCAGTGGAAAGAAACCGTCTGGTACCGTTCAGGTTTTTGTAGGCCCAGCGGGGGAAAAGTCAGTAGATGGTAAACTCCGGGGCCACGTGGCCTGAGCCCAACCCATTCTCTCTCGCCTCTTTTCATCTTAAGCCACTTTAAGAAAGAGACCTCGCTGTCCTCGAGAGGTGGGGAAGCAACGATTCCAGATCATTAAGGAGTCAGCCACGTGGCGAGCACGAGGACGGCTCATATCAGTTGGGCACAGACTATGGGAAACGCACAGTGCTCAGTGTCACCTGTGCGTGTAATCTTTGTTGCACGTGTGTGACTAATTCCAGGCTCCATGCCCTTCCTCCGGCCCCATCATGCCTCAGAAGCTTTGACATCAGGGTGAGCATGAGCTAAGCCCAGAGGGCAGTCTCCTCTTTGATGCGGATCCCAAAAGGCGCTGGGCCGCCACTGACCGGGCCACACGGGCTTCAGGTAAGGTTTGCCTCCCTTGGCCCTTTGCCGACCTCCCTCCTCTTCTGGCTTCAGAGCCGTTCTTTCAGCAGCCTCCCCCCTTCCAGGGTGCCCAGCAGCCTCCAGGCCGGGGCCCTGATCGGGGACAGACGGACACGAGAGCGAGAGAGGGGCTTCGCAGGGTCCTGGGGAGCCTCGGATGAGGCCAGGCCTGCGGCCGCAGTCTTCCACACAGCCCCCCGGAGGAGGTGCTTTCAGCTTCGGGGAAGGTCAGAATTTCAATCTTGTGTTTTCACACATCTTAAATGGATTTCAGAGCCACTGGCCCTGCCCGGCTCGGCTCTGAGCGGTGCGGTTAAGCTGCCTGGCGCGGCTGGCGCTGCCCCCCTCCCGCATTGTGATGTGGTCTGGGGAAGGCAGCGTGCAGTCAGCTAACCACACTAAGCCTGCTCCATCCACGGGAGCAAACCCCACGGAGAAATTGTGAATAGGAACAAGGCAAGTTTGCTTTCCGCCGCTAATTCAAGAAGCCAGATAATTAAGTAGGCGGAGAAAGGAAGTATCCCTTCTGATTCCAAGAGCTGGCTCTCTGTCTCCTCGTTTCCTTCCTTTATTAGGTGGCGATGGTGGTGGTTGGTGGGGTGTGTGTTGGGGGGGGTTGGGAGGGGAGTCCTAGCAAGAGATCTGTCACCCCTGACCCTGGGAGGGAGCCGTTCCTGTCGTGTGGCGAACCTAATAGTAACTGTTCTCTGTTCTCGTCCGCTCCCCTGTCCCCTCCACTCAGCTCCACGTGGCCCTCACAGCAGCTCCAAGTCTCCACCTGTCTGCCAACTCATCCCCCCCCACCGGCCACTTTGGGTCCCACCTCAGAGACCAAGGTCATCGGCGCCATCTCCGTCTCCACCTGCACCTGCACCTGTGGATGCACACGGAGACCACCTTCCCCTCCCCTTACCCCCCAACCCCCCAAGAGGAAAGAGTCCCTCTCCATCTGCAAAGCCCATTGCTCCCCTGTGGCCTGGATCCCAGGAGGAGTCTACTTGCCAGGTCCCCTGCTGCTACCATGGCTCCTTCCCCCAGTATGATGAACGTGTCCGAGGCTTTCGTAGTCCAGGAAAACATCTTCTGCCAACCCTGCCTCTGGAACTTCCCTCCCCGTGTCTGAGGCTCGCATCCACCACCATGAATCTTAACACAGTCTACCCCCTTGTCACAGCCACATGTCTCCCCTGCCATCGCCGCCAGCTCTGGCTTCTGCTCCCCCTGCCCCACAGCCAGTCACCACAGATGCCTAATCTTCACCACCTAGGGGACCTCCCCACCCATTTGCTCTTCACATCTGAGCAAGGCAGCAGGAAGATGGCCAAAGTGACCCCTTGAGGGGGACTGCTGGTGTTCAGGGTGCTAAGGGTTTGTCTTCTTCTTCTTCTTCTTTTTTTTTTTTTAATTTTCCAGAGAGAGAGAGCCTAGAGTTTCAGACAAAGACATTTTCCATCTACCAAACTGCATATTTTTACTTAGATATTTAAAAAAGCAATCTCAAGCTCCGAAGGAAAATGTAACATTGATGCCAAATCAGATGAGAACTAACACTTGGTATCAACAGGAATATATTTGAATTTAAAAAGGCTAGCTGCATCTGACAGCAATGTGTCTCAGCTCCTTAAAGTCTGAGCTGGAGCGGGGGCTGGGGAGGAGGAGAGTCTTCGGTACATGTTTATCAGGCAGGACAGGTGATAAGTAGGGTGACCGCCTGTATCATGTGACCCATAGAGTCAGAGGCGGCTTCACATCAGAGCTTAGGTTTAGGCTGGGTCTTAAAGGGGAGGTAATTTCTGGTAAGGAAAGTTGTTCACTGAAGGCAGAGGGAATGGCATGTTGCAGAGGCAGGTTGTCTGGAAAAGAACTGGCATTTTGGGGGGGATAATGAGCACAAAACCTCGAAGCATCTTAGGATCTCTAGGACCAAGCGCTATCTCCTATCGCACCCCTGGGCCTGAAATATGGACAGTTGCAAGGAAAGAGCCCATCCTATAGTAATGGTTGTTAAACTTAGGGCTAAGGACCCTCCAAATGCATAGGAGTCACCAACTTCTCATACGCTCTCCCTCAAATGTGGGCTTTTAGAGAGGAAAGGCATTCACAGTCAGAGCCATCTGTCCCCAGGGATCCGGTATCCAGAGGTAGGTAGCCAATGGCCCAGCAAGCCCAGCACCTCCTGTGGTGCTCATCTTTCCCACATTGCCCCTCTGGTCTCTATTCATGGGCTGCCTGAAGGAAGGTGCCATGCTTGTTGTTACAGTGACTGGTGCCATATTTGCTCAAAAATACTGGTTAAGGGCGTGGGTGACAAGCCCAGCATCTTGTGCTTTATGAAGAATAGAGGGTTCATCACCCCTAGAGTTTCCAAAGAACACTTCTATGTAGTCCCTGATTGTGTGTGCAAGGTGTCCTTCTTGGGCACAGGGGCAGACAAGACCACACACTCAGCTTTCTCGGGTTTAGCTGGGGCCCCATGACCTGATCTAGACCTTGAAGCAAGGCTAGAAATGATGTGTATTACTTACTGGGTGAGGCCTGTAAGTACACCCCCCAGAGTTCTCAACAATGATCCCCGGATTCATGGATTGAGATGGCAGCATCAGATGGGGGAGTGCGGGTTCCCGAGTCACCAGGTGGAAGCGTAACTCTATGGTTCCGAGGAGTGGCCTTGTGGCAGCCCCTACTGGGACTAATCTACCAGTACATTCCACTTCCTTTCCAGAAAATAAAGTGGGAATATGGATTAGACATCAACTCAACAAAAACACCGTTCATTTAATTGATGGCGGCCACAAGAGCTGTTTTGCCATGGAGAAGTTCTACATTGCTTTCTCCTCTTTAGAAAAACAGAATAAACTTCTCAACTCACAGTTTTAGAAAGGTTGAGTATCTCTTGAGCATTTGATAATAAAAAGTTACTAAGAAAGTGATTCTTGATTGATCTTTCATTTCTTTGCCTACCAGGAAGCTCTGAGCCAAATATATGGCTTATGCATGGCCTCTTGGGGCCAAATTTTTAGAACAAGCTCTGGACAAAAGGTACATGACCCTTTCATCTCCTAACCCTGGTGAAGACGGATAGTATAAATCAGCTTGGAGTTTAACAGTCTGTGCTGATTTTAATGGACTCTTCTAGTTTTCATGTCTACTACTTTTGCTTATGGATTCAGGGTCCCCAGATGACATTTAATCACAAGTATTTCCTCTTTCTGAAGCTTCATACGCAATTTTGACTTTCATTTTTGATGGAAACACCCCCCTCCATGAAATTTCCCTAATTGGTGCTAAGTATCTGATGCAGAGATACCAATTCTTAAAATCCCAGCTCACACCTCACTTTGTTTTCCATACCTGTGTAGATTCAATGGCTTGAATTAGCTCTCATGTGCATGCACTGAAAGGCAACACTGTTATTATTCCTACATTTCATATCTGTAGTCCTATCTGTAAATGATCTACAACAGATGCACAGACACATGTGAAAAAAATTCTTTATTAATTTCTCACATTTCATTACAAAAATGTATGTTGCAAACAACTTGAATAACCTACTGGTGTGTTTTTGTTGTTTTTTAAAACCCTTGGCTTCAAGAACTCAGAATCTCCCTCTCTCCTATCAAGTATCGGGAAACACTGATTATTGGAGTCAATAGGTTCTCATTTTGCTATTTATTTTCTTCTCTCAAGCTCTGAAAAAAAATGTCCTCTGTATAAATTAAACAAAAAAAATGTTGTAAATTCTATGTCATTACAGTCAACAGAATTATAATAATGCATCCAAAATGTGCGGCCACAAAATATCAGGTATATGTTTGAAAACAGAAAAAAATGACATTCTAGCCCTGTTAAAAGGATAATGGTCCCATATTTTTATTAACAGGTTAGCAAAACAAAATCCAATGGATTACAATATTTACATGTTATTTGAAAAATAAAGTAGTGATAAAAGCATGTCACAATTATTTTCTTTTTTTCCTTTTTTCTTTCTTTCTTTTTTCTTTTTTTTTTGTTTTTTTTTGTTTTTTGTTTTTGTTTTGTTTTGTTTTGTTTTTTTTTTTTTTGGTAACCATTACAAACACCCAATCCAGGTATGGAACTGTTTAATACATCTGAAATGAGGCCAATTAAAAACAAATATGGACACAAAATGTTATCTTTGTTTAGATCACACTTTCCCCATTTTCTGGTTTCCACATGATGGCCCCCATCCCTAAAAAAAAAAAAAATTTAAATTAAAACAAACCCCTACAAACAAAATTTCTTAACAGCAAGAAAATAAAAGAAGAACATGCTTTTCAAGTAAGGACTTATTCCACAAATGCAATATCTTTCCATGGATTTTATTTGAAGCTGTGTGGGACACTGTCATCTCAGCAATTCCCTGTCCCTTACTTCCCTCCCCCTCCCACAACCCTTCCAAGTAAAAAAAAAAAAACAAACAAACAAAAAACAAAAACAAAACATGAAAATCAAAGGACTCACACACACGCACATGAGCACACATGCATCCAAGCACACACACACACACACACACACACACACACACAGAAACTTCTATAACCTAAGCTTCAAGGAAAGTTCTTTTCTACTTTTTGGAATGAAACCCTTTGTTCACAATCAGAACATATTATAAATGTAGACTTAGATTTAGTCTAAGCTGCTCCCTCCTGAAAAAGCTAATATGGGGAAACAGAGCAGCTGGCAGCTAGATTAAGGAAAAAAAAAAAAAAAAAGTAGTTCTCCAGGCTCCTTGTAGGATATAAGTATTTCTTGTCCACTCTCACCAACAGGGTGGGATTCTAACACATCCCCTTGTCCTGCAAAATAAGTGAAAAACCCTCCCCCAAACACAATGCAAACAAAAACAGAACACAGATTTTAAAATCACACACAGAAGCCAGCCCATCCGAACAGAAATTATTTGTGTGAGACGGATAATGTGTTAATTTGACGAGCAACAAAAGGGTGAAGAGGACTTCCTCGTCTGGCCCACAAGCTGCATAGCTGTGCCGAAAAGTTTGGTTCTTTAGTTAAATTAAGAAAAAAAAAGTTAACTTCTTTGTTATTTCCATGTTTAAAATAAAAACATTCCTATTCACAAAAAACCCCTAAATCTCCCTTGCCCCCAAATTAAAACAAGAACAACACGCACACAAAAAACAATTTATGTGAAAACTGAATTGTGCTGTGTTTGTAACACTCAAATTGATAGAAAATAAACATATGGCAAACAAAACTCCACAGTCACCATAAAATTAGCTCACATGAATCTACCAAATTCTAAATTATAGTTGAACACTAATAAACAGCTTACCTGGAATAAAGGATGACAATTCACAAACAGTTATCTAATAATTAAAGTCTGTTTCTTTTTTTTGTTTTGTTTTTTACTAAAATAATTAAAAAAATCACAGTATTTTAAGAAATAAAACCCACGTGGGGATTTTAAGCACAATTTGTGTTCCTTTCTTTAAAACTCTCTTTTTTTTTCTCCATTCACCGTCTTGCCCAGCAGTTCTCTCTACATTTAACCACGACGACGACAGGTAGTACTGACAAATGCAGAGAATTCCCTTGGTTAAGTTTGAGGTACTAGGAAACAGGTGACTGTTTTATGCAAAGCAGTTTTTTTTTGTTTTCTGTGTTTTTTTGTGTGTTTTTTTTTTGTTTGTTTGTTTGTTTTTTTTCCCAAAGCGGCTGCAGTTAGGTCTTGAAAAAGCTTAAGGTATTAAAACTAGAAAAACGCACCAAAAGATGTGCGTCAGAAAGTTGTTCCCCTAAGAGAAGTCTTCTACTGTCATGGAGCTTGTTTCCACATCCTGTCCAAGACCGCCACAGAGCACACCGTGCGCACGGGAGGTGCTTCCGTATTCCACAACAAATGACACTTCCAGGATGAAGATCCAGAAGAAAAGGTGTAGTGATGGAAAAGGAGCCACATATTCCAACCATTTAAATAACTTTAATTTACATACTCACTCACACAGGTACCAGTGCTTTGAAAATAGATTGTTCAGTCCTAAAAAGCAGCTTTGTTCTGTCTTCTTTTCCGTCCCCCCCCTTCTCAGCCCAAGCTGGCCCTCCCACTTTCTCATCACGGTTCAAGTACGGTTTGATTAAGAATTCCACCAAACGCTTATTCATTTTTGGCCTCTGCATTCTCCAGGAGAGATTTGTCAGCAGCTACTACACAGATGGCTACTGTTTCATTCTTTAGGGAAAAGTCTATCCCGATTGCCTCGTCATCTTCCTTTTCCTCTATAGAGGGCATCTTAATACTGTCCTCCACACTCTCTTTCAGGTGGATTTCTTCTCTGCTCACCGGCTTGGTGTCATTCAACGCCCTGGAAAAACATTGATGGTAGAGATGGATGGGTATGCATTTTGTTGTTTTTTTTTTTTTTTTCAAATTAAACAAAAAAGTGTACTTATTTCCCTGATCCTAAAAAGACCTTGGGGTTTCCTTTGCATAAATGCCACGAATGTGGGACTAAATTGCCAGTGATTTATCCTTGCTACAAGTTAGGCCTAGGTCATGTCTTTCTGGCATCTTATTAAAGATGTGAATCTACAAAAGTATCCATTATTATACTATGTTTTAATTACACCATGTATAACGTGGACACATTAACATAATTATTTTATGTTCCCTCATCTCCTGCATTGGTCACAGGTCATAAGTGATAGGAGCAAGAACTGTCTTTTGCTCAGGCTCATCTGTGGAGCCCACAACTTGGAGATTGGCCATCTTTATTAAGACTAAAAGAGGAACTCGGGTAAAGATTTATGGATGGGTCCAGAAACAAAGCATACAAAGAGCGAAAACCTAAAGAAGGGACCCAAGTCTTGGGAAGCTTAGTTATATTCTCTGAAGTTTCGATGGCTTGGGGCTTCTGGGGCATTTTCTACTCAAGGACCAACTCCTAGGTTCTCTCTGTGTCTCATGGCTAAGAGTGCCTCATCTAGGGGACAGTTTTATGTTCAAGTGTTTTACGGGTATGCTCCCACCTACCTGGGAGGCAGGCAGAAGCTGGCTCTGTCCCCGAGGCAGAGCATTGAAGGCACCAAGAGGTGCGAGGGCATGTTCAAGGCCACTCAGGGAATGAGTCATCACAGAGGCAGGAACAGAAGCCAGATCTTTTGACCCCGGTCCACGCTCTATCAGAGAATGTCATGCTAATGAAAGCTGAAGGGACACTGGCTGGAGAAGAGCACTAAACTTCCACGCGAGGGCTTGGGTGGGATTTGTCATTCGTAAAGATGATTTTTCCACATTTGACTGGTGTCTGGGTGACCATTTAAAAAACCAACAGAAAAGAACAAAACCTAGTTCCTGACAACTGCCTCTCCTCCCATGCCCAGAAGTGTGACACTGAGGGAGCAGTCTATGGATTGTCAGGGGAACCAAAAAAAAAAAAAAAAAAAAAAAAAAAAAGAAAAAAGAAAAAGAATAAAAGAAAAAGAACCTGCTCTCCCTGCCACTTCTCACTCTGGGCAAAGGCGTTCCTGGGATGGCTCAACTTACATGCCGTGTCTCAGCACGTGCCTTTCCCACTCAGAGCCCTGTGAAAACGCCCGTCCACAAAATTCACACGGAAAACGCTTCTCGGTGTTAATAGCAGCCCCACGGTCGGAAAATCTCATCAGATCTGTGAGGAGAAAACAGAAGTGTTACCTGTGCGCTGTGGGAGGCGGAAGACGTGAGTCCACATTCGTTAGGAAACCTCCTCTCCTTCCTTCACTCCTGAAACCATCTGTGAAGGCACTTCCACGTTCCTTACTCTTTCTCCTACCGGCTTTTCACCTAAGGGTGCTCTCGGCTAGTTCTCAAGAACCGCTCCTGGCTCCCTGGCCCCCCAGTGTCCCCCAGGCCTCCTCACTGCCCCAGCTGCTTCCATAACAAGTAATCTGGGTCTTTCTGGCCTGAGGAACCCATTCTGTCCATTCCAACCATTTTTTCCTACCAAATCTCTTCCTTCTGAGATGCTTTGTCAGTGCCTCGTGGGTTAGCACCTACCCGAAGTGGGGTTCCCTTTGCTTGCTAAAAGGAATACAGCAGCACTGGACCAGGTTACACGTCTGAGCAGACCTCAGGGCTCGGACTCATTCCAAGTAAGGCTGAGAGCTCACCTGTCATGGATGTCATAATCACCTCGCACGGAGGCTACGGGCCCTGAACGAGATCTGCAAGCGAAGAGCCTAGTGTGAACGAGAATCCTGGACAACAGGGCGGCCAGGATGTGAAAGCATGTCCTCAGCTGGTGAGGGACCCTGGCCGGCTGCCTGGCATCTACTCGTCAATCGGTGGTACTCCTGAATGTGGGGATACAGACATTTCTGGCCAGGTCTGTTGTAAACATCAGATATTGACTGTCGTGTTGTTTCCTCCACAGTGCTGGGCACATGTTAGGGGTCTGATAAATGTGGATTGGTTGGCTAATTGTTTACAGACCACCCCTCCTGGCAGACTCAAAGAGGAGAGCTCACATGGCCTTTGTGCTCTCCTGAGTCCTGGGCCCATATGTCTTGCATTATACCACAGAGGGCCCGTCTTCGTGTGGGTGAAAAACAGCAGGACCGAGATAGTCCTGCAGCCACGCTGCGATGTGAGGGCAGCGTGCAGGCAAGTGCCCGTCTCTACAAATCTGATCGCTCTGCGCCTGTACACACATGATGTTACAGGAGAAGGTCTCCTGGTTGAAACACTGCATCCCATAAAACCCTCAGGATGACGTTAACGGGATAGGTGTCTCTGTGCTGCCTTAATCTTTAGCACAAAAAGCTATGTGAATGGGGCCAGTTTTAACAAAAGATGAAACATTTTCTCACAAATTAAGAAGATCACCACACAAGCCATTAAAAATAATTGCACAGACTATCTTCCTTGATTCTTTTCATTGGAAATGAGACAGCACCATCTGCTCTGCGCATTAATTCCTTAGCAGGGATTATCTTGGGCAAGAAATCAACAGAATGCCTTCCTGACTCCTCCCAACTGCATAATGAGAGGGGGCGGGGAGGATTCTGCTTGGGTTAATTTTGATTTCTTCATGCCTGGCTTCTTCTCTTTCAAATTCTCTCTGAGCTTCCTAGGCAGGACCCGCAGTGTGGCCACGGGCAGTCTTCCCTCCAGGTCCCGGGTTGGAAAGGGCACTGGCAGTGGGGTAGCTGCAAGGGCCTGAGCCCCCTGAACGGAGTGCGCCTGATGAAAGGCTACGTTGCCAACGAGGGGTATGCTCCTGGCACATTTGCTCCTTTACCCTTAGGAAACATGAAACCAGTCATCTATTCTTTCCAATGGCTCATGCTGTTTCATCCTCAAAGGAGGAGACCAGTCATTACCTGTCACACATCAAATAGCTCTCCATCAGCCCTGAGAGCTGCACTAAAGCCACCTCCCGCTCTACTCCTAGAAGACAGACTGTCTGGCAAAAACACCCCGAGGCTATTGTGTGCCATTTCTTCTTGTTGGCAAGAATATACCTAGATGGTGGAAAATTGATTCAAAGGAGATGAGACAAAGGAGGCTGTTCTTTCAAGAATTGCGAGCAGGGTGGGGGGTGGGCTAGGCTTGTACTGCCCATTAACAACACTAGGAGTTACTCATGTAAATCCCCTATGCTCAGAGAAGGGAAGCATGCTCCTCCACCCCAAGACTCTTCTTTCCCCCATGTGGTTAAGGCTCATGAATGTGGGTACTACACTTTCCAGTGCAAAGCTAGCAGCCACCAGGAAACCAAACTGGTCTGATGCCACAGTGCCCCTGAGAAGGGGGCAGCCACACCGGCCAAGCAACAGTTATTTGCCTGGTGCCCTCCCACCCCCCAATCCCTAACTGTTACCTGTTTTTCTAATTTGCTATGCTTTCATTTTGGAGGAATCACAGAGGAGGGGAGGACCAAAGGGGTTCTTGCCTCTGCAATGTGTATAACCTCTAAAATCGTATGTGCTCAGCTTTAGAGATTAAAAAAAGTCACAGCATCCAACGAGGAATAATTTATTTCCTGGAGAGGAACAGCAGGGCACAGAGCATCATGAAGCAAAAGGAGCCTCTGTACCCTCTGTCAAAAGCATCCTCTTCCAGAGAACTTTGGTAACAGTGCACAGACGTTAAAGAATTCATCACTAAGAACATATTTGTGAAATGTTAAAAAAAAAAAAAAAGGAAAAGGAAATTAGGAACCATGCTTCCTCAGATCATAGCCATTTTCTTTGCAAGCAGTGGATCACTGTGGCCTCTGCTAATAAAAGCTGTCACTTTACAAGGGCAGTCAACCCGGATGGTAGGATGTTTTCTTTGTCCATTTATTTTTTTAGGCTGGCCACGGGCAAGGTGGCTCTGGAGGGCCGGTGGTCCCTGCTGTGGTTTTCACTGGGGGGTTTCGGGGCCCAATGGCTCCTCGTGTTGCAAACCTGTGGTCTCCTGCTATGGTGTCATGGTGGGAATGGAGTGGAAGTGGGCCCGGTCAGGAAAAAGAACAGGGGGGAGCCTTCAAGGGAAATGGCCCCCAAATAGGCTTCCGTAGGCCCACAGACAGACGGAGCAAGGAGGAAAAACAAAGATATTCTGCAGGGGTGCACCTCAGAGTGAGGCCCGGAGGGGATTCAGGGCTAAGGCTCCCTTCACCTTAGAACATTCCACTGCCCAAAGGGTTAGGGAGATGGGATGTAGTGTAAAGAGATCGTGTCTTTGGAGCCCAAAAGACCTAAATTCAGCCTCCAACATATGATGGTTTTGTTTTGTTTTGTTTTTTCCCCCTTAAAATGAGCTCTTAAATTTTCTGGGCCTTTATTTCTCCATTTGTAAAATGGTAATACTACCACATACACTGCAGGGTTATCATCACTTATGAGGTGATTACTACGTTCTAGGAACTGGGCTGGTGTCTTGTATGTGATCTCATTTAAGCTTTCCGCAACTCTAGGAGGTAGGTGATATTATTCTTGTGATTGATTATGAGTGCATACGGGATAAAATACTTGACCCAAAGTCACAGAGCTAGTTTAGCAGTATAACTGGGAGCCAAATCCAGGACCCTTGACATTATATAAGATTAAGGATAAAGGATTATATAAAACCCACCAACACTGGATCTGGCACATAAGGAAGCCTGATGCTGGTAACTAACACCATCCTTCTGGTATCTATGATGTTTGTTATCCACGTGCTTTTGATGAATCTGCAGTCACTAACCTAACAGAACCCAAACCCATATTCTTCTATGTGCCGTCTGGGGATTTCCACAGTGTTCTATGTCGAACAATATAGAACGTCAACCCTAGGCCATACAAATGTATGCCTACCGCTAAATATACTTTTGAGAAACTTTATTTGCAAAGTAACAGTAGGCTCAGAGGAAACTGGAAAAATAGTACAAAAATCCCACAAAAACTTTCACCCTAAACACCCGGCTGAATGAAAACTTTTGGCCTCTTCCTCCCTCTTTACAAAGCAAAAAGAGCATCAGAAGAGGGTTAAGGAAAGGGCCAGGCAGAGGGACTTCTGGGAAAGTTCAGGGCTCAAGTCCTTTGCAGTCTGCCCCCTACCCCCCAACCCCATGCAGCCTCAATACCTAAGCGCCCGATGGGAAGTTCATTTATGTTCCCCCACAGCTTTATGGTGTCCTCTGCCTCACTGCCTGCCTGTCCTTACTGTGAAGATCCCCTAGACACCAGCTTTCCTTATTTAAAACAAATCACCACCATTGGTTTTTAAACAAACATATAGCTCTAGTTAGAGAGAAAAGGTCTGTCTTCCTTGGAGTTCCCAGAGCTGGTAATAGTTTACGAAGACATGGCCCTTGACACGTTTCTGAACTCAGTCTGTTCTGCTACTTAACTAAGAAGGATCATTCCTTCTGTTCCTCCTCCAACAACCTTCTGCCTCCCTTCTGTCTCACCATGGACGTGCTAGATGCCAGCTGGGCCTCCGAGGGCAGGGCTGAGACTAACCTCTGTCAGCAGCCTTGCTGCTCATTTCCTCTTCCTTGTCCTCGTCCTCACTGCTGGAGCTCTCCATCTTTTCCTTCATCTGTTCCAGCTGATCCAAGTTAACCCGTCCAACCAGCTCAAAATTACGGCTCACCTGAAAGAGGTCCAAACAAAGAAGAGAATAATGAACCACACACGGGATGGGGGCTCTCCCCGGGGGAACAGATCTTTCCACCATCATTTTCCCTGGACCGTGTGTTTTTGGAACCAGGACCAAACAACACCAGCGCCACAGAAGCCCTTTACGCTTGGACTGTGCCAGAGATGGATCTGAACCTCACCCCCGCGTTCCAACATTTTTAGAGAATATTGGACAACCTTCCTCACCAAATGCAGTAAAGAATACGAGCTCCGGTCAGCAGGAAAGTGAGGTATCACAAAGCCTGGGGGATAGGCTAGATGTCCAATAACACTTTTTGAGCTGAATTCAAAGGTGTAATTTTTGTAAACTATCCAAGGTTCAAATACCTCTGGAGGTGAACAGGCTCCCTAAGTACCCTGAAAAGCAGCATGAGAGTCACAACCTTCCTCTCCATGGTCTCGTTAACCGGGAGGGCCATGGGCGGCCCCAGTTTAGGCCAGATGACGACTAACTGACTCCCGACTCCATAAATGGAAGACAACACTGTTACTGTTAGTCTGTTTTTGAAGCTATCGATTAAGGCTGGGATTACCTGAGAAAAAAGTCTAGATGAATAACCCCTAAAAAAAAGCCCTCCTAGTGTTAACTAAGGCTGTAAAAGGTGGTTAGAATAATATGGGAATCCAAACTTTCTTCCAAATAATGTCCAAGGGTTAGATAAAAATCCACAGTAGGAAAATTTTATAATGATGCTATGTTTAGGGGTCTCACATCAACAGTAGCACAAAATTCACCTTCTTGACTAACCTATTTTCGGAACCTCTCCAGTTGTATGCATAGAATTATTAGGAATGACAGGTGAGCACGGACTCAAGCCAACAACATGTCTCAAGCCAATCAACAGCGATGGGCTTATTCCTCTGTAGAAGGCGCTGTGCTCCCCCTGTTGGGGGTTAGGAATGGGACCCACAAAGATGAATGAGACGCAGTCCTGGCCTCCAGAGGCTCACAGTTTAGTTGAAGAGGGAAGGCAGACGTCATTAATGAGATTCCAAGGTTGATTTACATAGCTGCTACGGTAGAGATAGAGCATATTGAGGGCACAGGAGAGGGAAAGGGAGACTTTACAAGATAATCCCAAAATACTCTCTGGGACCAGACTGGAACAAAGATTTGCTGAGCACCACCAATTCCATATGCCTGGCAGATGGGAACATCCTCATCAACTGTGACAAATGGGAGAGAAAGAGACTGAGTACCAGGGCCAATAGACAGTCCTATGAAAAGACTTAATATTGCCCCAACAACACCCTGTAGAAGGTAGGGAGCATTTAAAAGGAGGAAGGAAACTCAGGATAAAAGCTCTTTTAAAATGAGAGAAACAGGGATCCCTGGGTGGCTCAGCGGTTTAGTGCCTGCCTCGGCCCCAGGGCGTGATCCTGGGGTCCTGGGATCGAGTCCCGTGTCGGGCTCCCTGCATGGAACCCGCTTATCCCTTTGCCTGTGTCTCTGCCTCTCTCTCTCTCTCTCTGTCTCTCATGAATAAATAAATAAAATATTTAAAAAAATAAAATTAAATTAAATGAGAGAAACAGGGGTGTCTGGGTGGCTCAGTAGGTTAAGCGTCTGCCTTCAGCTCAGGTCACGATCTTGGGGTCCTGGAATGGAGCCTTGCATTGGCCTGGGGGGGGGTGTCCCCTGCTTAGTGGGGGGGCCTGCTTCTCCCTCCCCTGCACCCCCTCCACTGATGCTCTCTCTCCTTTCAAATAAATAAAATATTTTTAAAAAATTAAAAAATAAAATGAGAGAAACAATGGATTGACCTAACTGTAATAATGCCATCCATGAAATCGGTTAACACTCGACTCTGAAAACAAGTCAACACGAGGGAGGAAAGATGTTTTTACATCTCAACACTAAAACGCTCAGGGAAGACAAGATCTTATTTTGGTCATTTGCAAAATTAATTAAAATTAACAGTAAATAGACTCAGTTGAGAAGGAGGAAGAGTCGAGTTCAGAACCTTCATATTTCTCTTTCCTCCCTTGTAAGAGTTCACGGTAAGTCTTCAAAGGGCTGTGGCTTGCAGCACCTTCCTACCTGGATTTATTACTATGCCTCACTCTTAGAGACCCGAATCTTTCCTTGTTTGTTTTTATGACATAAAAGCAAAAAGAGAGAGCACAAGGCATGGGCTTTGAAGTCTGATCCCGGTTCAAGTTCAGAGTCTGCCATTAACCACGAGACTGTGGGCAAGTTACTCAGCATCCACCCTCAGCGTCCTCGTTTGTAAAACGGGGTCAGCATACTACCTGGAACACAATCGTTCCCCAAAATGTAGTTTCCTCCTTCTTTCTGGGAATGTGGCCTTTTCCAATTTTGGCTTTTGGAAACACTTATAACAAGCATCGTAAATGCATATTTATGAAGTTATGTTTAGCCACAAAGTCTACATTTTAACCAAATAGCGTTTATGACAAATATTTGAATAAAAGTTTTCTGGGTTGCCAGGTTTTCAGGAAAATGAGATAAGGTTCCAGTTTACCTAGCTTTGAAATCTGTGTGAAGTCACATATCCTTAAGTGACCAATCCGCAGAAGGCAGCCTTTTCTGACCACATACCTCCACTTCCCATCTCTAGCCAGGGCAACGGCAGGTGTGTGTTAAGAGGCATGAGGGGTGGCCCTTGCCAGGAAATAAAAAGAGCAAAGTCAAGAAAGGTCAAAAAGAATCCTCAAATGCCTTCTTTAATCAGTATACATTCACTCCTTCCTTCCTTCCTTCCTTCCTTCCTTCCTTCCTTCCTTCCTTCCTTCCTTCCTTCCTTCCTTCCTTCTTCCTTCCTAGGGCCACTTCCCCTGCCCCAGGGCCCCATGCTAGATGTAGGAGCCCCTGCTTCTCAAGGAACTCATGGTGACATAAGGAGCTCCGTCACAAAACCAAATGTTATCTTTTTTCCCTCCTTCTGGGTTTCTTTGAGGCCTGTATTTGCCCATTTCCCCATCACCATCATCCCTTCTCTGGAAGACTGTTAACATTTTGGATTCTGCACGATTTTAAAAGAGCACGTGACATTTCTATGGCATGATGTTCATCTGGGGCTAGCCTATGATGTATTTGTCCTTAAGATTCATAAAATATTTGTTAAGTATTAAAAGATAAAAAGCAAAAACTAAATATCTTGCTATTTAACTAGAAGGTTTTAAAATAAAAACTCTAAGAATTGGATTCTATTTTTTTTTTGTGTTGGATTCTTACTAAACTTTAAACCCCCAGTCAGCCATCCAACAATATTAATCTTCATACAAAAAAGGAAGACTCTCTTGCTGCATTAATTTATTTATTAAAAATATTTATTTATTTATCTTAGAGAGAGAGAGAGAGAGATCAAGAACACGAGTGTAGGGAGGCGCAAAGGGAGATGGAGAGAGAAACTTTAGCAGACTCCTTGCTGAGCCTGGAGCCCGATGTGGGGCTTGATCTCACGACCCTGAGATCATGACCTGAGCTCAAATCAAGAGTCAGATGCTTAACTGACTGCCATCCATCCAGGGGCCCCTCCTTGCTGCATTTATTTTTTTTTTTGTTTGTTTGTTTTATTTATTTATGATAGGCACACAGTGAGAGAGAGAGAGGCAGAGACATAGGCAGAGGGAGAAGCAGGCTCCATACACCGGGAGCCTGACGTGGGATTCGATCCCGGGTCTCCAGGATCGCGCCCTGGGCCAAAGGCAGGCGCTAAACCGCTGCGCCACCCAGGGATCCCTCCTTGCTGCATTTAAAAAAAGTTTTTTTGAGCTATTATTTGAACTTTTAACTATATCTCAAAGATATTAGGACTTTATCACATTCACTTTTAATTAATTATTTATTTAGTCATGAGAGACACGCAGAGACATAGGCAGAGGGAGAAGCAGGCTCCCTGCGGGGACCCCAATGCAGGACTTGATCCCAGGACCCTGGGACCATGACCGGAGCCAAAGGCAGGTGCTCAACCCCTGAGCCACCCAGGTGCCCCCCATCATATTCATTTTTTAAAAAAAATCATACACGATTTTAAAAATGGAGGTATAGTTAGCATACCCTGTGACATGAGTTTTGGGTATACGATAAAGTGACTGGTTTCTACATTACGCTCTGTGCACCACCAGTGTGGCTTCTACCAATCACTGTACATCACTGTTACAGTCCCATCCACTGTACTCCCCATGCTGTTCCTCTCATCCCCGTGACTGACGCAGTCTAGGGCCGGGAGCCTGTTATCTCCCACTCCCCTTCACCCACTCTGCCCATCCCCCACCACCCTCCTCTCTGGCACCCATTGGTTTGTTTTCTGTATTTATGGGTCCGTTTCTGCTTTTTGTTTGTTCATTTGTTTTTTCGATTCCACACTTAGTTCTTGTCTTTCTCTGTCTGACTTATATCACCTAGCATCATACCCTCCGGGTCCCTCCTTGCTGCATTGTGGAGCCACCATCTCTTACCTGGAATATTGCAAGCTGCACCCCCACCTCCTGCCCTGCACCCCCGCTCCTTTCCTGGCATCCATTCTTGCCCCTTCTTGCATCTATTCTCCAGTGTGGTCTGAGAGAGTAAAACTATGTAAATCTACTCATGGCAACTTCTGCTTGCCCTGAGGATAAAATCTGACTTTCACCATAGTTAGGAATGGCCAGCTATCTTCTTACACTGGCCCACCTTCTCCAGCCCACCTGAACTGACGTTCCCGGAATACGCCGTGCTCTTGACTTTGTGCCTTTCACTGCACGTGCCACTTTCTCTGTTGGGAATTCTTTCCACTGCCTCCTTCACATGGTGACTCATCTTCCAGCACTGCTTCCGTGTCACTACACCTGAGGGACCTTCCCTAAACTCCTCCTTGGTTAAATATCTTTACTTTCTGCTTCCACAGTGCTCTCCCCTCCCCTTTTGATAACTCATTCCACTCTGGTTGTCTGGGGCCTGTCACCCCCACTGGCCCACAAGCTTCATAAGGATGGACAGACATCCTA